AGTATAGGTTGTTTGAAAATTGATGTGAACTTTAAACTCACAACTTGGAGCAGTCAGTAATGTATCCACATTCAGAACCCAGAACCTCACAGCACACGGTCAGACAACAGCTGACTCCTTTGCCTCTCCTGTAGGCTGCATCGTCTCTTCCTGCCTTCCATGTCTTCTTGAGTCCTTCTGTGCATTATTACAAATTATTATAGCCCTGGCTCTATGCCATGATGCCTTTAGTTACGCATTCTTACAATTCTGATTCTCTGTGCTTTTTTGTTTTTTAACATGGTATCTTTATTCAAGTTACCCTCCCAAAAGTATCTGATTATCCTGTCTTACCATGTTATAGAAATTAAACCATAGATTCTTGGCCAGAGTCTCAGCTATATGCCCTACTGCAAGCTGGGAACTATGTTAGATGCTAGGTTGGAAATCTGTGTAGTCACAGGGGACAATTGCCTTCAATTAGTACGAAAAGAGTGACAGTTCCACTTAAAAGTGGTTTTGAATTTGGCATATGGCAGGCAATGTACTTGACATATATTATATAGTTTTCCATCCTAAAAATAGTGTTTTAAATGTCTCACTTCATTCTCCCTATGTACATTCAAAGAAATTTCAACTACCATGACACTAACCATACATTTTTTCAGATATGTTAAATTGTACCAACATTTTCAAAATGTTGTCTTTTTTCATTCGCTTTCTAAAGTTGTCAGTTTTTCAGATCCAAAAGAGAAGTTGTCAATAAGACATATAGCAGAAATGTTATCCTTAGATAAATATAGTATATAAAAATATTTTGCAGTGCTGAAAACCTTACACTTTCAGTTAAAGACAAGGACAAGCAAAATTATGTAGTTGAAACTCACTTTACACAAAAGTAGCCAAGGAAATAGCTGTTCAGTACTATAGCATGCTGTTCTGTGGTTAACTCTCTTATTGCTGTTACTTATGTAACATTCAACTCTCTACATGTATTTCCACATAGAGATAGCATATTTAATATTTAATGAGATCCATCACCTTGAATACAATTGCAAGTCATAATATATAAAACAAAGCAATTTAAAGAAGACATGAATAAAGATTCTTTGCTAGTGTCCATGCACCTGCTCATTGAACCACATTTTATTATAAGACATGTTATCTTCAGAAAGAATTTTAGATTTCAGTTATCATGGATAAGTACTGAATTATGGGGAGTCAGTAACGTTCAGGTTTTTATTGTCTAATTGCACGGCTAAAGAAAACATCAGCAAAATGAAAAGGGAGCCAACTGTATGGGAAAATATATTTGCTAATGATATATCAGATAGAGGTTTGATCTCCAAAATATATAAAGAACTCACTCGACTCCACTCCAAGAAGACAAACGATCCAATCAAAAAATGGGCAAAGGACCTGGGCAGACGCTTTTCCAAGGAGGAGATACAGAGGGCACAGAGGCATTTGAAAGGATGCTCAGCATCACTAGCCATCAGAGAAATGCAGATCAAAACCACAATGAGATACCATCTCACACTGGACAGAATGGCCATCATAAACAGATGCACAAACAACAGGTGCTGGCGAGGCTGTGGAGAAAAGGGAACCCTAGTCCACTGTTGGTGGGAATGCAGACTGGTGCAGCCACTGTGGAAAGCAGTGTGGAATTTCCTCAGAAAGCTCAAAATGGAACTGCCTTTTGATCCAGTGATTCCCCTGCTGAGACTATACCCTAAGAATTCCAAAACGCTGATTCAAAAGAACCTATGTACCCCAGTGTTCATAGCAGCATAATTTACAATAGCCAAGTGTTGGAAGCAACCTAAATGCCCATCAGTAGATGATTGTATCAAAAAACTAGGATACATTTACACAATGGAATACTACGCAGCAAAAAGAAAAAAAAACTACTAAACTTCGCGACAGCATGGATGGAACTAGAGAGCATTATGCTAAGTGAAATAAGCCAGGGGGCGAAAGACAAATACCATATGATCTCACCTATAAGCGGAACCTAACCAGCAATACAAAGATGCAAGGAAAATAAGACCAGCAACACTGAAAGGAAAAGAAATGAACAGAGACAAAAGGGATGGAGGGAGCGGGGGTCGGGGGAAAAGGAAGGGAATGGGAGGTTTGGGGAATGTGTAGCAAGGTCTCATGGACAAAACCAAAGGGGAAGATTGAGGGAGGGAGGGGGGAGGGAGGAGGGAGGGGGCAAGGGAAGGTGGTGGGGGGAAGGCAGAGACAAATGTATTTGAAAAAATAAAGAAAATAAATGAAAAAAAGAAATAAAAGGTATCCAAATTGAATAAAAAAGAAATAATACAGTAGAAAATGCCAAAAATATTGCATGCCTTCTTTCATCTTCAATAAAAATGACTGCACAAAAATTCAAAAAAAAAAAGTAAAGGATTTCAGAACAGAAAATTCATTTATGGTATATTAAGGAATGCAATTGGTTTTAAAAGGATCCCATATGTAGAAAAAAAAAGTCAGCCCAAATTCTACACAGACTAACTATAGACAAAAACACTAAGCTGGTTTAAAGGAAAACTGGGCTGAGGGGGTGGGGTGGGGCAGGGAACAAGGTAAAGAATTCTGCTAAGAATATTACTGTCCGATTTAACATATGAGTAAAGATTAAGATTCAAAATGATGTGATATTTGAAATGTGAGTTTAATATGACAGAAGCATGTCATGGAAGACCTATGTGCTATGCTAAAGACTTTGAGCTAATACACAACGACACATACATTTATGCATGCATTATGTGTTTCCAACACATGTGTGGCATTAGGAAATCTGCATTTAGTAATGGTAGCAGTTTATATTGTATGAAGGATAAACTGATAAACAAAGCCATTCCAATATGTAATAGCTGTTAAAATGTTCAAAATATAAAAATAACATTTTTTATTGATAATTGCTTTCATTCATAAAAATGGTTATATTGATCCCTTTAGTATATTACGAAGTGTATACTGCTGCAGCCTTATTCAGCCCTCTTGACATTTTGGGTTTTTCTTGTGTCGGAAAGGGGGAGGTGTCAAACGGCGAAGGATCACTGGAGCTGGGAGGGAAAGAGGAGGGAGTCTGGGAAGAGCACAAAGCTTTTGGTTTCTCTGGGCTTCTGTGTTACTTGATTTGATACAAAAGAAATTGAACATCCAGTATGCTCATTCATGATACCAGTATAATCTCTGCCTCTATGTTTAGGATGTTCTACTTTCAGAATTACCATTTTCAAATTGTTTGGTCTCAATAAATATTTACGAGCCAGTTAAAACAACCTTCACTTTCTTGAGTGAAAACAAACATTTCAATAGGAATAAGGAGTTAAAGATATAAATCGAAGAAAGTTTTCTTTAAATGTCTGCAAACATTCAGTATAATTTATAATCAACTCCATTGATGATATTACACATTAACATATATAATGAGCTGTATACAGAAATATACATAACTTACATACACATATATTATAACACATGTGTTCCCATTATTTAGCTTGTGTGCAGGTGCATGCATCACACGTACAGCACTAGTTTGCCTTGAGAGTGGTCGGTGAATACTTTCAAAGGCTGCTGGTGGTGCCCTAACAGCCTTTGAAAAATCAACCTGACAACTGTCAATGACTTTACATGTTATTTTACCTCTTGTAGGGATGACATCACAGTGAACACACACATACGCATGTATGCATATATGTATATACATATACATCTATACTACTGAGAAGTCAACAATATTTATTGGATATCTATAACAACTAATCTCTAGTTACTAAGTTTGGATTGATGTACAATGAACAATAATAGTTTTAAAAGGAAGAAATCCGTATGATGAAATATTGCATAATGACAAAACATGTATATGTAAAGATGAGATTAAAAATAGTGTGATAAATGAACAGAATTCAAAATTATTTTAAATATTTTATATTTTATCAAGAAGTCCTTATATAGGTAAACATTTACATAAATTCAGAAAAGTAATAAAAATACATATAAGAAAAAGAGATTTGGTTATTATACCTGCATAATTGAAAAAAAAAATCTTACTCTACAAAAATGTAATTAAAAAATAAAAAGCAGGTGCTGCAAATTGCTGATCTTGGCCTTCAGCCTCCATGGAGGAGAGCTTGACTCAATCCTGGCTCTGCTACATTCGCTGTGGGTGTTCACTTTCTTTAAAAGTGATTATGTTTTAATATGGTTAAAATATTCAGGGAGTAATTAGGCATGTGTGAGGTTTTCTATTAGTTACAATTTTTTTCACATATTATTTTGCTTTGAAGACATATATAAATTGGATAACTTTGAATTAGTGAGGCAGGCAGACATTTCCTTGAGAATATTTTATTGGTATTCTCTATTTCTATTTTACTATTTTAACTTTCTACTGATTTAGTTCCTATAAAATATTTAATAAACTTATTTTCTAGAAACAAGTTAATATAAATCATTACTTTGTTTTGAAATAAGCAAGATATATTTATATATATTGCCTTCTTGTTGAAAAAGTGAGAACATGTACTATTTAAAAATAGGCTACTTCTGTTTTTACAAGAAACCTTCTTGCTCAGGGATATTACACATTATACAGAAATATTACATATTGTGATGTTGAGAATTTTAAAGATATAACTCTTTCAATTAGTGACTTTTAACTGTACTGCAGATAGTTTTAGATAATGCTTGTTCTAAAGCTGTATTTCAATACAATTAACTTGAAAATCATATTCTTTTCAATGATGCATAAAATATTCTTCATTTATTGACAAAACCTTTATGCCAAAAAATAGTCTATTTCAAGAATTAAATAGAACATTATTAACTAGTCCCAGCATTTTATTGCTTTGTTAATGTAGTTTTTTGAATTTACTTCAATACTTTTATGTACATGTTCTACCTCACAGACTGTGACCTCTTTAATAGTTGTTTATATCACTGTGCAACTGAAGCTCTCTTTGCTCATTTTTCCTTCTTTTTCTTTTTCTTTTAACATGCTGCAGTAGCTAATATATTATGGAGAGAAGAAGGTACTAAATTCTATAATTTTTTATATTGTTGTGAATATTTTGCCAAATTTTAATGGATTTGTTGACCGTCAGTTTTAACAGTTTTTTAAATTTGTATTTTATTTTTTATGCTCTTACAGTTGTTTCTGTTTTTCTCCCTTTCTCCACCTCCAACCAATCCCATCTTTTCCCCGCCCCAAATCAAGCCCCATATTGTCCCTTTCCATGGGTTATGCATAAATGTTCTTTGGCTAATCCCTTTACCATCTTTCATCCCACCCACTCCCCTGCCATTTTAATTTTGATTTGGTAATTTTACTTGATTATATTTTAACATTTTTGTGTCTACCTCTACCATTAAAATATTAATAGTGCTTATCAGCTTGAAGCATAATTGATGTATTATGAGGAATTAAATTACACTATATTGAAATGTTTCCAAGAGTAAAAAATTGAGTCAAAAAATAAAAGCAAGCTTAGTTAAACATAATTTACATGACAAACCCTCATTAGATTAAGAAAAGAAATTATAAATACCATTGCCTCATCCAGGGCATATAATAAATTATTTAAGAAAATGGGTTATAAACTTGAAGGATCTGGATTCAAGTCCAGTCTCTACCACTAGGGTCTTTTTCTGTCCTTATTGTCTTAATCTCAAAAATAAGGATATTTGTTAATACTCATCTAGTTGTTATCAGTTCCTTGAATATAGTCCACATTCAATAAATGGTATCTACTGTCATTTATAATTGTTATTATTAATTTTTACTTAGTCACAGAAGCTTGAAAGAAAGTGGCCAGGTAATCAAATAGCCCGTCAATTGTGTTTTAATTACATTTTTAGGGAAAAAAATGTATATCCTCATATACTTCAGTGAACTATAATTCAAATAATTGTTTCACAATCAATCCTAGACAAACTTCCTCTCCCTCAATTAAAGCTTCCTCTGTGAACTGGAATCACTGTTACCTGTGAGGGTTGTGTCTCATAAGATTCAAGTAATTTTGGAATTTTGCCTTCTCAATTTTATTACCACTCTCCTCCTCCTTTTTTTCCCTTAGGATTTCTTGTTGTTAAATCACTTCTATAAGCTCCCTTAAAGGCTGGTTTATTAAGGAGGTTCTGGTGTAACTATACCTTCTCAATTTATTTCACTTGGAGATTTCATATTTTAATGTGCAAATTCAATCATTATTGACGCTATCATGGAAATTCTGTTGGACAATATTTCTTTGTACTATCTTCACTCTTGAGATGAAACAAATATTTCTATGAGAATTTTAAAAATTGATTTCATTTTATCATGATAATGGAAGGAATATTACTTAAGGAATCAGAAATCAGGTACCATAGATTTGGCTTTTCTGGTTAATTGCTGAGAAAAATTGGATGTGCTATTTTACTTCACTGAGCCAGATTTATCTATCATAATAATTGAAATAGATTTAGAATTCTCCTAGCGATCCTGTAATATATAAATCCTCAAGTATGTGAAACAATTATTCCTTATAAGTTGATTTTGTTTAACAACAACCAGGAACATTATTTGTTTAAAATATTATTAATATGAAATAATAATATAATAATATTCTCCAGGCCACCCCCAAAAGTACTAGAGACTTCCATATTACTTAAGATCACATTAAGGTTTATTGTTTGAAACCATTTTTATCTATTCAAAATTTATTCTTATAGTTTTTGGACAAGAGCTATTTGCAAATATGTATACACACATATACATTGATGTATAAATGCACATATACATGCATGCATACATATGTGCATATATTTATATATATGATTCCAACTAATAGTAATTATTTAGTGAATACTATATTACATTGTATCCTCTGTTAGGTTAATCATGAAATGTGAATTTAATCGTTCAGATTTGCATTTTTTCTAGAGTGCCTTTGGAAGTTCAAGGAATTGTATACTGGCTCAAAAAGATTAGTTTGAGATAATATCATATATATATGGTGATAAGATAGCAACTAATTCCTGGAATAACATTGCTTGATAAAGAACTTGACACAATCACTCTAGAAGCTTTCTAGTAAAGATGAAAGAGTAAGTCTTATTTTAGGTGAACATAATATGAAGATCTTATTGAGGCACAATGGTATGATGTTATCTGTGTGTGAAAAGATTGTTAGCTCCAAAGGCATAATACAAAAAAATGAGAACACTCATGAACCAAAAATCTACCCCTGTCAAGTTATTCAAGGTGAGAAATGCAATGTGTACAATATTCTTGTCTATATTTTTCTTTAGCAAAGAAAACATTTCTGCTATGTTTTTTAAAAAGGTAAGTAGGTTTAGTATTATTTGAAAGTGAAAAGAATAATATCAACTAATAAAGAACTTTACTTAATACTAAAACTTATTGATTCATCTTTGGTTACCAAATCATTGCATTGTAGAATTATAATTTGCTATTGACCATAACTTAAATGCTACAGTAATGTAAAATTAAATCAGAGGAAGGCAATTATCACCACAAAATCTCCTTTGTTATTGAGTTAAATATTCATCAAATAATCAGAAATTAACCAAATTTTATTGTTGATATGAATATATACAATACAGAATACGTTGCTATATATAATAAATAGTATAATTGTACTGTGATACACTATCATTATTGGGCAGCTATCCTAAAAGTATGGAGGCAAGAATGTAAATTACAACTTATTTTAGAGTCTGTTTCATGTACTTAAAGGTGCATTATTGATTAGAAAATCCTCTGAAAAATAATTCTTTCTTATGAGACTGCAAGTGATTCTTGCTTACGTCCTCTTTCTGTATAGAAGCAATAGCAAAGCAAAGAGAAAGCTCACAAGGAACAAACAAATTATGGATCACATTCTAGAACCACTATACTCTATTAGATTAACAATCGACCTGGAAAAGATAAAGTACATGTGTCTGACTTCACCAGTGGATGGAAAAAGAAAAAAAGCCCACCTACACATATTCTCCATCTTCACTGTGACTATAGTGGTAAAGTTTTCATCACATTCAAGAAATTTTGCAATACACTGCAGTACAGAGCATTAATGAGAAGAGAATTATAACTGAAACCTACATGGTTATCAAGCTTTTTGGGCCTCAGGACCCCACTACATTTTCCAGTATTATTGAGAACACAAAAAGCTTTTATTTATGTGGGTTATTTTCATCTACTTATACTTACCCTATTAGAAATTAAAACAGAAAAGTGTAAACGGGTATTTATTAATTTATTAAAAGTAACCATAATAAACACAATTTCATGTAGCCATAAATAACACATTATTTTAAAGCTATATTTCCAGAAAACAATGAAGAGGCTCATTGTTTTACATTTTTCAAATCTTCTAAATGTCTGACTGAATAGGAAATGCCGGATTCCCATGTCGGTTTCTGCAGTGAATTGTTGTGACATCACCTGACATCATGTGTCATGTAACCTGTCGAAAACTGCATTCTATTTCTGTGAGAATCTAATTTGTGAGACTGAGAGGAGAAAAACCCCACAAATGATATTTTAGTATTTATTATGAAAAATAGCTCTAACTTTGTATATCTACTGAAAGGATCAACTTTGAGTACTGCTCTACTAGAAAATCAGATTGAACCCAGAGCAGTTCATGGATTCATAGAATTTGATATCATAGAAAACTGAAACTTAGCATTGTATCTCACAATACAGATTTGAGTAGAACATGAGGACAGAAATCATATTTAGGGTAATTTACATTTCACCAACTTTTTCCTCCACTTATGTTTCAAAGAGATAATGTCAGTTATAAAAATAGTGACAGTTAACTCATCTGCTAAACGTTTTAATTTCTCCATCTCATTTAGTCCTTACAACAGTTGTATGATATAAGTATAGTGATTATCTCCACATTTAAGATGGGGGAATTTTGACACACACTGAATAACCTTACCCTGGTACACGAGTAAGGTCTATAGCCATGATTGTCTTCAGAGCTGCCTGAAGCCAAAGAATGGAATTGATATCTCTTTGTTGCATTTCTCCATCCCCTTTCAAACAAAGGCTAGGACATAGAAATGTAATAGTTTTAATGAATATACACAAATAATGAATGCCTTCTATTACCAACATCTCCATGATCAGGTAATTTATACTGTTCTGTGCCCACTGTATTCATAATAAATGTATATATGTACAATATTACAGCAGCAAATTTAAAAAGAAACACATCTGTATCATATACTCATATCATAAATTCTGCTTATAAAACCTAAATAAAATTTTTGATGAACAAAATATGTCTAGCAGAAAAATAATGTGAAAATACTCATATATTTCTTGTGGTAGGGAGGGAGGAACTCAGGGTTGACTTTAAAAAGTATAGGTAAAATTTTATTTTACAACAATGAAATTGACACATTGTTGTTCACTTTATGTTTACTATTTTAAGCCAGATATTTATGTATAGCATTTTGTTGGCATTACTACTTCATAAACACTAAGGAGTTACATTCCTGCTGGAAACAATAAAATGCAAAAACAAACTAAACCTTACATAATGATATCGGTATTTCTTCAATAACTTTTTACCTAAAAAATGGTTTATGCCTCGTTAAAATGCTGATGTGTGATTCATATTTTAAAAAGCAAGGAAACGGTCTCTCAGATAGAAAGGGTGATTTGGATGGATTAAGTGGTTTATAGAGGAAAATACAGCTCCGAAATTTTATCAGTTCAATGATTCAGTGGAATCCCACTGACCATATTGTGTACAGAATATGGAGAAATAACATAATAGGAAAGGTCAGGAAGTTTTGCAAAAAGGTTAAAAACAATCTGGATTTAAAGCAGTGTCAGTTTCAAACATGTTCATGTTCCTGTTGGTGTAGGATAATTTTGCAGCAGCTGAAGGAGAGCAGGGTCACATTCATTCAAAAATGTTATGGACCTTGTAATAACCATCATAGTATGTAACTGACAACTGACAATCAGACACCACATTACGGCTTGGTTATGGCCATAGGTTTCAACAACAATTAACGTTAAATTAATAGTCATTGATTATAGCACACACCAATTTTAGGGTAATGTTTCCTGGAAGCTTACTGATACAAATCAATTTTTTGCATTAAAAACTGATCTTTCAAAATTTTATTCATTGGATGCAGAATTTATAGTCCTTTATGTACAATTATAATTATAAAGAATAGATGAAAACTACTGAATTTTATTTAAAAAATATATGACTTGACTTTAGTTCTTGTCACTTCTGCTACTATTCAGAACTATCCCATTTTAATATAGTACTCTCTCTGGACTTAAAATGTTTAATTAACTGGTAAAGATTACATGCATTCAAATATAAGTGCTGTAAATTATTTATAAAACAATAAAGATGTGTTGAAACAATTTGGATTCATTTAAAATGTATATGTATGATTAGATAGAAATAATTTCTTTGCTAAAGGATAATTATAAACACTATGACAAAGTTATAATTGTGTTTGAATTACATTTTCCTCTAAATCAAGCATAGGTGGACATGTGGCTAGATAAGTAGAATTGGTGACTCTTTAAGAGTACATTTAATGAGAATAGATATGTCTAGCCCTGACTGCTGTGGCTCAGTGGATTGGGCATCATCCTGTAAACCTAAAGGTCGTCGATTCAACTTCTGGTCAGGGCACATGCCTGGGTTGTGGGCCAGGTGCCTGGTTGGGAGCATGTGAGAGTCAACCAATCAATATTTCTTTCCCTCTCTTTCTCCCTCCTTTCCCTTCTCTCTAATAACAAATAAATAACAATCTTTTAAAAATATGTCTAAAATTGAACAAACAATTTTACAAATAAATACACTTTTATTAAGATCCTCAGGCTTGACTTAATAGGGCTGCAGATATTCTCAATTAATATAAAAATAATGCTGAGAGATTTTTTTGTATTTAAATATTCTCTTTATAAGCATTTTTAAAATATAAAATTTCAAGCAACAATTGTTTGACTTTCCAGACTACCTAGATTTCTATATCATTGCTCATCTTTTAAAGAACACATGCTATCACTGAATTATGTAAGGTATAATTAGACTGAATGAACAAGATTGTGGAAACCAATACAACTGGGAAAGGGAACTATTCAAGTGAGGAACTAGAAAGGAAAGACTACATGCGATTAGGTCTGGACATGTTGGAACAAGGCAGAAGCAGAGGAAACAAGAGAATAGGTTTTCAAGAAGATGCACAAGCTCCCCAGGTGTGGACCTCAGTTAATTCCAACTGCGTTCCAGGTGTCTCATTTTTAGTGTCCTGTGATGGTTAGGTTTCGATTTATAAAGTGAAACAAAATTGAGGTGCCACACAGTTAGATCTCTAGTGTGAAAAAAAAAATTACGATTTAAATTAGTACACCAAGGTTTTTTTCTAAAACCTTAAATTAATTCAAGTTTTAGAAATAGGCCCCAAATAGCCAGTATAAAAAAAATGATATATGACATCTTTGTAAAATTATAAACACTAGTATAGGAAAATATATATTCTTCAAAATCTGGAGGACTTGGTCATTTTGTTTCTAAAATGTGTTATACAAACTAAATTCCTACAACCATGAAATTTTATTTTCTAAAGGAATCTCTAGTAAAAGTACTAGAATAAATACAGCTCTTCAAAAAGTTCTTTTATTCCTTAACACTTAATTGGAGAAGTTATCAGATATAATCTGTGCATCAAAAAGTATATTATTTCAATTTATAACTATTATAAAACTATTATATAACTAATATATGAAAAATGTGTTGAATTGTATTAACAGAATCACCCAATTGGAGATTGGGAGGATAAATTATGATAGCTGCGTAATATCACAGAGTTGCTTGGGCATCAATGAAGGTCACATACGGTTTGCTTTACTAACATTACAGACTTCACAAACGATCTGTCAGCAATATGAGGGGCACTGAGTATTGGTAGTAAAGTTTTCTGATAATTTCATTTTGAATTTTTGAATGTGTTTTTATTTCTAAGGTCTGGGAATTGGAAACATGTTCTATGTTTTTTATGAAGATGGAATCAAAGTGATACAACCCATAGAGTGTGAATTTCAGAGGCACATTAAGCCCAGTGAAAAGCTCCTTGGATTTCAGGCAAGTATTTTAATAATGTATTTGTATATTTTATATAACAGTTTTGTTAAGTAGGATTATATTTTAGAACTACAATGAAATATATACACATATGAGATGCATTGGAAAGAAAACATTAAAACTATGATATTGGCTATTATTTATGCAAGTCTTATATTTGAGACAAAAAAAATACATTATGTATTCCTAATTATTCATTTGCAATTAAAATAAAGGCAATAGAAGTGAAATACCAAAATTGAATGCAATGTCATAACTTTACCTGCTCCCTAATTTAGAACACTTCCAAGTTTTGTAGACAATGTTCACTTTAACAAAATGAAAGAAATTAACGAGTATAATCTGGTAGAAAATTAGGGTATAATCAGTGCTTTATAAATGTAGGTTCCCTTTTCTCCTTCATCGCATTTTTTTATGAGGTCTCCTTGTAAGTTTGTGTGTACCAAAATATGTAACACTAAAGGTATCTATGTTACCGTGTGTTCCCACACAAGTTCAGACGTACACCAAAACACACAAAATAAGTTATGGGAAGCCCTCATCATGTAACCCTCTCTTGATACTCATTTTTAAGTTTGGCATGGCCATGAGATATGAGTAAAATTGATATCAATGACATAGTTTAGATCCTTTATTTTCAACTCTTATTTCCAGCATGCTAATCAGTGTTGTTGAACATTGATGTCGAGGGGTAGGCAAAAGTAAGTTTACAATTGTAACAAATAAATAATGTAATAATAAATAATACAAGAATAAACTGTGTTTCATGTACTCATACTATAAACCTACTTTTGCCAGCCCCTGTGTGAAGATAACAATTTACATCTTAATTGTTGTAAGCCCCAGAATGAGAAGAAAAAATTATGAGAGTGAGATAAGATAGGTAAGCTTCCCTCCTGATATTCTGTAGGACAAAGTAGTCTAATGACCTCTTAATTTAAATAAAAGAAGTAATTTGACTCAATATGTTGTGATTCTTTATAATAAATGAAACCATGTTTAATTTTAAAATATTTTAGTTATGGGATAAATTCTAAATAGTATTATTACCATTGTTAAGCTACGGTTTACAAGTAAAAAGCATTTTAAATTATACATGCAATTTTATTTTATTTTTTGATCGTATCAATACTAAATCCATTTTGAATAAAATTGCTTCTGATAATGCAAGCCGTTCCATTAAATACCACTTTCATTTTTTTACAAAAACATTATGGATTGCAAATCTAGGCTAGCACACAGGTATAAAAAAACGTGGCATCAAATTATTATTTAAGTAAAAGTAAAATAATTTAGCAGAAGAGTTTCTCTTTGATTTCTACAGGATGAGCAGTTTTGTAGCTAACTGACGCAGACATTGAAACCTCAGTTACTAATTCTTGTAAAATAATCTGTGGAATTCATATTACCATGACAAAACTGTATACCTCATGAATTTGATTTACAGATTAGAGGCAAAGAATTTTATTCCTGCCTTACACGTGTGCTATTCCAGAATACCAGTAAATAGTTTAACACAATTTGACTCAAGTCTTCAAGAATGTGCTTTTCCGGAATATTTTTCAATGGCTATAGATAAATTAATTTTACAATTTGGAATATAAAGCTAAAAGAGCTAGTGAAATCGTCATGTAAAGTCTGGTGTGTCTGGACGATGTGAGAGGGATGTGAAGTTGACTTACCTGAATTTCTTTCTCTTGCCTTTGGATACTCATACTTCTTCCTAAACCATCTAGAGTAGAAACTATATAGAATTCTGTTTATGTCCCTTATATATTTGAGTACATTTAAAGAAAAATCATGTACATATACATAGATATATGTAAATTATATATGTTTCTATAAAAAAATTTTAAAATGAATAGGAGATAGAAACCAAATACCAATGATTACAACCTTAACTTGTATCTTTCAGTCTGAGAACCCTTGTCCACAATGTACATCAGCAGTAACCAAGCAGAGGGGTAATTAGATGTTAAGAACTAATTTCCTGCATCAGACTTTTCAAGTCATAGCCCCTGGAAATCTTATGCTCATCCTACATCTAGGATTATGCAGAAATGCATATTGCAAAGTAAAAAGACATAGGAATAGCAAAGGAGCATTCTTATATTACATAAAGCAAAAAAAATACTAAAATTTCTATACTCTTCTGGAAGAGTAAGAAAAAAAGGGTATGAAAAATCAGATTTGTATTTTTAAGAGAGCAACTCTTTAATTGCGTGTGTGTGTGTGTGTTTAAATTTATGACATTTCTACTGCTTTGGATGTTGGAATTAAAATATAAGAATATTTCAGCCAGCTGATAGATTTTTAAAAGCACTAAGAATGATATAGAGAATGGTGAATTGATTAAAACCATGGCCCACTTATAATTGTTAAATGTAGAATATAGAGGCTTTTTGTTTATCCCAAAAAAGAAAAGATGTATTTCTTATGTAATTACTATAGTCCATTTATATGAAAAAATGGTTAAAATAGATACAAATTACTTGATTATTTTTTATTCCTTAATGTGAGATTAGCTTAAATAATTATACTATGTATAAAGAGACACTTTCATGATACACAAGTATAGAGTGGTAGAAATAAGAAGAAATTGATCATGTTATGCTTTGAGAATAAATGTTGAACTAAATAATTATTTCTCATTTAAACTTATTTTGTTTTCTATGTTTAAACATAAGAGATCAATTTCAGAGTGTGTAAGCTATTTAGTGCAATATTCCACTAGATTTAAGTATTTAATTATAAACAATTTCATGAGAGAATTGTTGTGTATTAAGTAAGGAGAAAATATTTCTCCAGAGAAATAGAACCAGTAGGATTACCTATATCTATATGTATATCTGTATTTGTGACTCCGTGCTGATGTCTTTAATTTAAGAAATTGGCCCAGGTGGTGGTAAGTTTGAAATTTGCAGGGCAAGCCAGCCAGTAAGAAACCAGATAAGAGTTGATCTTGCAGTCTTGAGTCTCAAATCCACAGCTAAGAGCAGCAGACTGGAAACTCAGACACAAATTGTTTTAGTCTTGAGTCTGAAATCTGTAGGCAGACAGTAAACTCAAGCAGTAATTCTTTGTTAAAGTCTGAGAAACATTCTTAAATCTTAAGGCCTTCAATTGATTGAATCAGGCCCACTCACTGGAGGGCAGGTGATCTGTTTTACTTAAAGTCAACTAATTGTAAATGTTAATCACCTCCACAAACACCCTCACAACAACATCTAGAATAGTAGCTTAACCAAACTGGGTGCCATAGCTTAGCTGACATATAAAATTAATCATCATACCTTACTATTTCTTTTAGTTAAGAACGTTGTTTAATTGGTGTTTGTATTGCCAGCATGCTTAGTGCAGTGCTTTACACATAGCAGGTGACCAAATAATACTTGTTAAATGAATTTTGTGAAAATTTCATTTCTCAGAGGTTGAGGCTCTTCATTATTCTATGTGTTCTCTAAGTTTAAAGACATATGTGTTTAATTTTCTCCTCACTGTAATACTTCTTAATTTACAATCACCACAAAATACTGCTCTTCTTTTAATGTGTTTGTGAAAATGTGTCACAGAATAATTTGTCATTAAGTTGTTTCAAGGTAAATATAATTCCATGGGTCTAATAATTCAGGATCATGTAGTCAAAATGTACTGTGCAGATGCTCTTGTGTAAAATTGTGTGGAGTTCCATTATTAAAAAAAAAAAGCTACTTCATCTGGATTTTACAAGATAAACCTCTTGAGTGCTAGTAGTGAAAATAAGTCTTTTGTAATCATTTTTTCCCTCATAAAAAAGGATTAAAGATGGATATAATATTTTTTTTAATTCACTGTTGATACTAAGAGAGAAGAAGCGCAATTCCCAGAATAACTCACTGGCCAGTAAAGCTTAGATAAAAACTGATATATTTTAAATATAGAATCTTCCATCAAACCTCTCTGAAGATGATCTTTGCTTGCTCTAAATAAAAATTCAATTTTGATTCAATGTCAAATTGTATCAGGTTTCAGCTTCTGATAGTGAGTTAGTAAAAATTCATACAACATGTTTTCAGTTATACTTTCACCTTTTTTTCTTTTTTTGTTATGTAGCCAGCCTTACTAGATGTAATTCTTGTTATATTTATACTAGCTATAAACATGATTTCATCTTGTCATCAACAATGTGAACTTCAAGCAAATAGAATTCTACTGCAGACTTATGAATTCAGGACTAAGACTGAAATAGGTTTGGCGAAATGTTTAAATTAACAAGCTCAAGGATGACAGGTTTCTCCAAGATTACCAACTTTTTCACTCTTTTGGTTTCTAACTATTGTGTCATCTTTCCCTACCCCTGTTTCAGCCTTTAATACTTTTTAACTTAACCACTTCTGTGTTTTCTTACTATAATCTAGCTGTTTTTTCTTCACATATGCCATGCTGTTATCTATTTTTTACGGTTACTAGAAGAGCATAAAAGACGCACTAGATGTTCTATTCCTGGTATTAACGTTAAATAACACTAAACTGCAGACCAATGTGCTTTCTACAGGATGTCTGATACAAATCACCTCTGAAAGGTCTGTTTTTCAGATTTCGGATTTTCACGTATGAAAAGCACTCTACCTTTAGAAAGAAATGCTATTAGCACTCTAATGGAATGACACTTGTACATTAGAACAAGTTGTTCATAATGCCCAGAAAACTCAGGCATGGAGAAATTAAACCGAGACTAGAAATGGGGGACACAGCATCCCCATTTCTTTCTCTGCTGGTGTCCGCCATCACCTCAAGCAGTGCAGCCTTCAGGATATTCATCAGTTCCCTTAGTCTAACTCCCAAATTTCCCTTTTTCATCATTTCATTCTGCTTCTAATCAAATTACCACGTCCCCAAACTCTGTCAGAAAAAATACCTGTTAAAAAATCAGCCCCTTTAGATGATGCAGGCAATTCATTTCCCCATGAAGCCATTGAACAACCTTTTGAATTCAATACCACTGTATATTTTATAAAGGT